TATTTGTTGTAGCAGTAATAGTAGTGGCACTCGTTGTTGTTGTTGTTGTTGTTGTAAAAGCATCAGTAACAAAATTTGTATCAGACAATGAAAATATTTCATTATTTACTTCATTTGCATTTTCATGAAAAGATAAATCTCTTTTAAAGTGTCGTTGCTGCTGTCGACTTGCATTTTTTCGTTCTACATAATTTACATTTAAATCATTCGCCATTTTGCTACCAAATGCGACATGCGACAAACGTTCATTACGATTATTGGATTGTTTCTGAATAATTCCAGTTGATAATTGTTGCTTTGTGCGATATTTACGAAATAATTTTGCATTTTCGTAAACATCCATCTGCAATTGATTAAATTTCGCAATTCAATATAATTTGCTATTTTGATAAAATTTGATAAAATTTGCAATTGATAAAATTTGCTATTTTGTATAAACGGTAAAAAAATTATTTGCTTTATTATGGATTATTTTTTTAGTTTTTTTTTTCGCTTTCTATAAAGAGTACTTTTCTGCTGACGGTAAATCGATTAAAGTATTCTATTTGCTTTCAGAATTTCTTTAGTTAATAATATTTTTAAAAAATATGTATGCAACAGTTTTAAAATTATTACATGAATATTTATTGTAGTTGAAAGAGTAATTTCAATTTGTATAACTAATTTCTTCATTTAATATCACTGTGTGTGTTACTTAAAAAAAAACTGCCTTTAGTTATCAAGTAAAAATATGCAATGTTCTTGATTGACTTTGAAAATTAAGTATAAAATATTTATCAAATACACAAATAGCATATTCAGACATAATAAAGTTGCTATCGCAATAAAGCTTTAAAATTGCTTTATTTTTTCTTTATCAAAACATTTCACAAAATTTTTGACAGCTGAAATTTGCAACATTAATCATTATCAATCATTTTTAATATTTGATAAAAAAACTAACCGTATCCTTAACAGATGGTACCGCTCGAACCAAACCTTTTTTATACGGATTCAAATTGCAAAATGTCACGGCAGGAAATTGTACATAATCAAATTTAAGCTAAATAAAACTTTTTTTATTTTTCAAAAAAAAAAATAAAATGAAATAAAATGGAGATAAGATAAATGTTACTTACTTCAATACTGGTAATTTTTTCATAACGATTAAATTTCATCACTAATTGATATGCTTGTAGCATAAGTATAACAAAGCATATAATAATTCCAAATAACCACAATCGTGCAGTATATGCATTTCTTGCGATAAATATTCGTCGCACTCCATGTGCTGTGGTATTTTCTGAGAAATTGCGAATTTTTTTAATGACCACA